ACACACACACACACACACACACACACACACACACACACACACACACACACACACACACATAAACATCCATCACCCCCCAGATGATAAAACAAACCCATTTCTCTTCAGAGCTTTACATTATAGATGCACACCAAACCGTTTTATAAAACCTTACAGCCACTCCAAACATCCTTAAARGTTTCGACCTGTGCTGCTTGAAACTCAGCGTAAAGGTCAAAAACTAGGTTTATTTTTTTTAGTTTGTTGCCACAGTCAGCTGCTGCTTGGTGATATTTTCAAACCCTCTCATAAGAAAAAACAGGCAAATAAAAGCATAAATGATGATGAACTAAAGGTCTCAGACTGCTAATGTAACTCTTTTGAATTGTTTCTCAAACAAATAACTTCCTGTTTTTTTGTTGCTTATATACAACTTATATACAATCACACTGTCTTTATGAATGCAATTACTTTATTATGTAATATACATACACCTGTGTGTGTAGACAGGCCTCTGTTCTTTTAGTTTAACATTTAGGAACTGCTTWCTGTCATGTCTGTGATGCTAAATCCCACAATCAATATTTTATATTTTATAGGAAACCAAACTTTCACTTTAGGCATCGTTTAGATCAGTTGATTTTTTTTCCTTTTTTGTTTTTAGCACAATGCTGGCATGTACAGTGTTTGAGGTAGATAAGACGACACACTGCTCAGCGCTGTACGGTTTAAAACGAGCTTCTCCGTGTTCCTCCTGCAGCAGAGACGCACTCRGACCTCTTAAATGAAGACTGCAAATTAACTGAACAGCGCACAATTACTACAGCGACACAGTAATGACTGCACTGATACAGCTGGATTCATTTAAAACCGCTGCTGGATACTGGTCCCCTTTTCTGTTTTTGGGGGCCCTGTCTGAGTTGTTCTTTCGTGTGTTGGTCAAAATCTCTATATTTTTTATTTTAACAGAAAACCAGAACAGAATAGAAAAGTCTGTACCACTATGAGGCAGAAGGGGGCGCCAAAGAGCTGCAACAATTCACTCCGCAACAAACATGTAAAAGTGTAGCCATTAAACGTTTCAGCCACGGCACCTGTTTGATGGCGTACATGTCTGACGTCTAAAACGTGYTTCCTGTCCTGTGTGCTCAGGAAGCGGCGATGGTGGTGCCCCCGCTGAGGCGCAGCAGGATCTGCTGACAGTCCTGCAGGGACCGGCGGTCTCCCACTCGCTCCAGGGTTCGCTTGGCCTCGGCCAGCAGACGGGCTCGGTGACCYGGCGGGGTCAGGAGGGGCATGGGCAGGTGGCGGCAGGCGAGGAGGATGGCGTGAGCCCTCTCCCTCTCGCCAACAACACACTCACCGTCTGAAGGCAGCAGGAGGGGGAAAAGAAGAAGAGAAGAGCAGAGTAAAAATCGGTGTGACAAAGCCATCTAAAACCGTTTTATTTTGTTAAGAACTAAAAACAACCCCAGCTGGAGTTTCACTCGGTTTTCCATGTGTTTATTTAATGTATAAATGTGTTACGGACCAGCAGAGAATGAGCTGTGGGTTCTGCGGCGCAGGCTGTGCTCCAGCAGCTGGTGTGTCCTCGTTGGGCTGGCTCCAGCCATCAGCCGCACCGTGGTCTCATGGAGAAACATCTGAGAGAGAGAGACAGAAGTCAGGCTGACTGGTTAAACCTGGTTTAAACGGAGAGATAATTGTGCCAATTTTTAAACCAGTTTTAACCTCTCGACAATCTTAAGAACGATCTGATTATCATAATGGATCTAAAGATAATCTTAGGTCTTCCTGCTGTGTGTGTGTGGTGTCTATGCTGAGTGGCTCTACACCACACACTGTTTATCATCATGTGGGTAAAAAAAGATATTTATCCATGTACTAAACTAGATCTAATGTTTATACCTTGTGTTGTGCCTGTCTGTAACACTGTGTGAGCTTCCTGAGTGCACTCAGATCCCTCTGGAAACCAGCCAACTGAGATCCCGGAGCCGGACCGGGCTCTCCGTTACTGCTGCCTCCTCGCTGCCACAAGCTGGTCCTTATGGTCAGAAGGAGGTCACAGACGAGAAGCTCCACCCCCTTCGAAAATAAGAAGATTTCACTTAGRAATGGTTTCAGTTTTGAAGAATTGTGTTTAAAACTTGAGGCGTGAGTCAAATCTGAACCAATCACCAACATTAAAACGTGCGTGTCAGAACTCAAGCCCCTGATCGGTTAGTGAGACTCGAGGCTAATGTTAGGTGGTGTGGTGTGTAGCGGGTGCGTGCAGATCGGAGAGGCCTCTGTGTTGCACTGCAGACACATTGCACTTGGCTTCAGGATCATGCAATGCACCTCCTTCCACCYACACTGTGCACACACACAGCCCCACTCCAGCCTGTCCTGACCTCTGCCCAGCATGCAGGGTTTTAAATCAAACGTGCACTTTCAGGAAGGAGAGAACGCCCCGACCCAAGCTCAGATCTGAAGTAAAGTCAGTGATTGGAAAGTTAGTGATGGAGTTTCTTCTACCGCTTCGTACCTTGTTGAGCCAGTTGCCCGACTGAGCGAGCGGCACGGAGATGCTGCTGCGCAGGTAGCCGCTCGCTCTGTCACAGTGGGAGAGGCAGGAGACCACGCTCTCCCCTTTAAGTGGGGACARGCTCATCTGGACCACCTTACACAGGAGAAGCACAGCTTTGGGCAGGGGATGGCTGGAAAAGAGAGAAGACAAGTTTAGATACCGGTAGTTGAAAAGTTTCAGTGCTTTGCAGCTTTGACATCAAACTGACACTAATAGATCCTTAARGTGGACGTATGATGCTTTTAAATCCTTTTAAACATTTAAATCATTCAGTTTGCATCTATATACAAGTGGAACTGCAATGCTTTGGTCTGAATTCCTCCTTATTKTAACTCCACAAGCCCCTCTTTCATCTCGTTTCTGAGGTGGTCTCAGACAAACTCATTTTGACGCTGTCTCTTTAAATCCAAAYAAGGCGCTTCACTCTCTGCCCGTCCAACTACTAGAGCGGTTCATTGTACTTTGAGGGAGGGKTTTACGACTGTATCGCGGCTCAGAAACGTTTTCTTTACAAATTAATTAAGAGATGTCAACAACAGAAAACTTGTCCATCCAGCCTTACATGTTGGAGCCAGAGTCKGACCCAGAACCAAAGTCTGACCCAGAACCAGATGAAATGGTAGTAGGTAAGTCCAGACCTTATTTAGAAGTTCTGTTTYAAATATTTTGAAGTATTAGCTCAGAAAACATAAAAGAAAAAATGGAAAATTGAARGAGTTGAAAAACATATCTAATTCAACTTGTTTGCGTGACTCAAAGTACACAACAACATGTAACTGACAGATAAAACAGTGGATTTAACTGAAACTAAAACAACAACATAACCTGTCTACAACAGAGACACTGTACAACACTAAATTATTTTGCTTTTTATTTAATGCAYTTACTCAAGAATGTGCAGAGCTCTTGGCATTCGCTCTGCTTCAGCTAAAAGTGACCTCACAGCGACATCATCACCCAGCAGCCAATGAACAGCAGCCTTCAGTACCAGAGCCCACCAACGACTCACCGGGTCTCCCACTGGAAATACATAAGAAAAAATTTTTAAAATAAAAACAGATATCAATTTTTGAAGCAGGAAGTTTTGTTGAAACAACCGAGGTCTGTTGGAGACAACTTCTCAACATTTCTAAAGAACTGTTGGAAATGTTTGCTCTTCTCACCACATTAAGACCGACTGTGATAAAAGGCTCTTTATGAAATGCAGTTTTTCAAACCTGAAATGGTGGTGTGACTGGGAGGAGTCGAGAAAGGGGGAGGAGGGGAAGGAGAGTCCTCTGTGCAGCTGTTCAACAACTCCAGGAACTCCAGGGCGCTGGAAAATTCACTGCATAAGTAGCAAAACATGAAAAATAAAACAAAAAAACAAAGAGGGCGATTATAAACACGGTAAAAATGTCTGAGTGGAGACATTGAGCTTCTTGATAGGAAGGATTGCGGCCATCAAGTAACTGCTGTACCCAGAGCTGTTCTTGCAGCCGCCTGCGTCAGAGTCGCTCTGCGGCTGGATGAGGGTRTGAACTGCTCGCTCCAAAAGCTTCCTGCAGAAACATCGGTGCAGCTGGGCGATGGGGTCAGCTGAAGGAAAACAGAAGGTCCCACTGCTTTAGCTGGAAATTTACTTCACTTTTTTCTTTTGACATTAATTAGAGAGAGAAAAAAACTAGGGAACCAAAAATCTAAAAGAACAAACCCGGGTCCCTCTGAGAWGTGTACACCTCGTCGCCGCTGTCCGACTTCACCGACCAATCACAGCTCAGGAAAAACTGCCAGCCCAGTGGCGTGAAGAGCCAGCGCAGGCAGTCAGGGATCTGCTTGATCTCTGACTGGTTGGCGACGTTCTCTGCGCATCCCAAAAGGTAACCCTGAGAGACAGACAGGACGTGATATAAACCCAACATGGCTGCTTTTAGTTGTGATTAAATCCAGAAACAGCCAAACCCGTACAGGCAGATAAGAGAGGCGGTGGCCCAGGACGGTGCGCAGGGCTGTCGCTGCCGTGACATAAATCTGAGCGAGCTGAGTCGGGGCCATCTTGCCTTGTGCGCTCTCGCTGAGGTTAACAGCGCTGAGGGACAGGGAGAACGCCCACAAGCTGCTGCGCTGAGGCAGCTTTCCTRCAGAGACCAGCAGATATCACATTTRTTACCTTCAAATCTTTCAGAYATGACCACATCTGATCTCTTCAGGATCCAAACACTTGTGTCCTCTGACCTGTGAGCTGAAGTTGGCTCAGCTGGTGGTAAACCAGAGCTGCGTCTCTCGCGCTGGTCCTCGCCTCCTCCCCTTCGTGCTTCCCTCCAACCTGGTRGACCAGCCAGCCCAGAGGGGTCGGGCGATGCAAGCAGTAGCGAATCAAATTCCAGGAGAGCGAACAGACCAGGTCCAGACCGGTGGAGGGGAGAGCTCTYGTCAAGACGGACAGACAAGTCTCTAAACTGGCCATGGCTGCTGTGTAATCTCCCTGCAGGAGACGGAGAGAAACAATGAGCTGCTCAGTGTTTGATGCTGACTTACAGGTGAGAAAACTTAGACATYAAGGAGCTAAAAATGCTAAAAAATAAAACCAAATAGCAGGCTTAGAGACATCAAAACAATAAGATAAAATTTGCTTGAGGTGCTCTCTGACAGATGAAACAAACTGATCCTGATCCCTAAAGTCTGAGTAAAGCAGGCCGTGACATCATTTCTTGAAGTAGTTAAATCTTTTAGAGACATTTTTTAAAGGAATCCATGATTAGTTGTAACATTAGAATTTATTTGATAAAATATATTTTAACTGTAAAATAAAGACTGTAAAAATTCTGTAGGCTGTTT